TATAGGGATCATGGAAAAGAAAATGGAAAAGAAGATGGAAACTACTACGCCTTTTCAGGAAGGTCTTGCTTCCATAGAATATACGAGGACCCTAATATAATCCCTATTATCCCTTATAGTCACGATTACTGACCCTAAACCCTAAACCCTAAACCTTAAACCCTAAACCCTAAACCCTAAACCCTATGATGGTCATGGCAGCAGGCTTGCAGAGGTGTTGTCCACGGCGGCTCAAGACGGCTCTCTCCAGGAGCCGCGTGTTCCGTGTAGCTGCCAGAGCCAAAATACACTCCCGGAAACTAACATGGAAACCCAACAAGGGCCCTATAAAGACTACAGTCCTGCTGAAGGGGACTATCTGGGTTTCCATGTTAGTTTGGGGAGTGTATGGACCTGGTTGCTTGGAATAGACTTTTGTCTTGGGTGTGTTATTGGTAACTATGGCTGATGAGAGGATGAGGCTGCGAATGACCTAAGTTTCCATATGCATCCTCTTCTAAAACTAAAGGCCACAGCGCGCCACCACAGGTTCAACATGGTTCGACGATTGGCTTGAGAACTGCAACGCTCACAAAAACATTGCTTTTGTATGCACTGCTTCGCAGACTCGAGGGCCTTCTTGCCCCTGCCAGCGCTGCGATTGTCGGAAGCACAAAAGGATCATAATTTGAGTGACTGTTCTTTGGTCCCCGTGATAGTCCTACATGATCCCAAGACCACGCTCTTAGAGCTTCCTCAGCAAGTCACATCACATCTATATTGTTTCAAGTGGGCTAGCTTCAGGAGGCATTGGCTGCGTCGCAGCCGCCAGATATGCCGGCAGAAGAGAAGGCGACAGAGCGTGTGATCAGAAAGCTCTAGCCCAATACGTGGGATTTAGGAGCTAGCAGGACAAGATGCGGATTTGCATGGAGTCTAGAGTCTAGAGATTGCAGAGATGCAGGCCCTAGCAACGGGAGCAGTACACGTAGCAAAATCATGTAGGATTCATCAGGGTCATCGTCATACTTCAACAGCTTGCACCCATAAAGCTTGCTCGCAACAGCTGCGCATGCGTACTCTTGTGTGTGACTTCGTATGGGACCCTCTCAAATCTTACGGACCCTGGGGATGTTTGGGCAGCAAGCACAAAGGGATTGAGGGAGCTTCTCTTATCTTCTTCTATTCATGTTTCAGAGAGAGATACTTTTTACTAGATTTTCCACCGCGACGAGCAGTGTTACCACCCCCTTCACTTCAGAAGCCCACGAGGCATGTGTGTGTGTGTGTGTCAGGATGAAGTTTATGGGTTCCACCCTAAACCCTAAACCCTTTAAAACCCTAAAACCCCTAGGATGTCCTGACGGAAGGGCTAGTGAATTGGGACGTTGCTCGGCAGTCTTGTTGACGGTTGGGCCACAGTTCTGATGATGTGCCGTCTGCTGTGCAGCGCTCATTTGCTCGGACTTCAGAGAAAATGCGGAGTAAACCCCCCCTAAAGGATCCCAAAAAATGGAACCCCTTAAAGGGGTTTATAGGGGTTATGTTGGGATAGTGGAAAAGAAAATGGAAACTACTATTTAGGGTTGAGAGTTTGTGCCAGCATCCTGGGCTCCCCTGTGGACCCCAAACCCTTGCTGGACCCATGGCAGGACATTCTGCGAGCTCAGCTGGAGTCCAGCCTTGTGAGAGGAGGTCTCCAAGAGGCTGGGTGTCAGCCCATGGGCAAAGTAATTGTGAAGTTTCCGAAATCCAGGTGGACCCTTTAAGTCGATCATGGACGCTTTGAATATGTAGTTCCTTTCAGCCCACTTAAGAAGAGTGGATGTTGGTGAAGGTCATCCGTCATCACGGTAAGTTTCTCCATGGCCCGCACATTGGTAAAACGACCATAAACCCCTTCCGCCATCCCTAAATCCTTGCTTGACTGGCTTGGCTTCAACCGTAAACGCTCAATCGGTTGCGGGTAGGCGCTGGCAGAACCGCCCGACTTGGAAGACATTCGGCCTGAGCCTCTGACACGCACGCGGGTAGGCTGCAGGATGCTACGGTGGATATGAGTAATCCTGCATGACCCTAATCACCTTAGACCTTTGGGAAGTATGGTATCATGGTATGTTGTGGTCATGCACGACTTATGGCATCAACAGAAAGTAGATTATCAACTAAGTCACCTCTAGGTTCAGTGTGAGTCCTGTTTAAAGTGCCTTGGGACACAGATTCGTATCTAGGAGGCCCACTCCGCTGAGCCACTTGCCCATCAGCTTGTGTGCCAGAACATAGCACTGTAGCTCTTGGCAACTTTTATATACGGGATAAAAAAATAAATTGGGTGTATATAGGGTTATATAAGGATACTGGAAAAGAAAATGGAAGCTACTATCTAAGTTTTGGGTGGTTGCATTTTTCCAGGGGCTGTCGCTGTTTTTTTTTCTTTCTCTCCGACTGCCGTCATTGTCATTCTACTTCTGGTTGCTGCTTCATGCTGGCAGTAGTGCCAGTATTTGGCACCGTGACGACCATGGCCACCACCACGGCCACCACTACTGCTGCTACGGGTCAGCCTTTCTATGCTTCCAAGACTGGACTAGATATGCAGGTAAACAAGACTGCATCACTGCCTGTCCGAAAGGAAGAAGGAGAGAACGAAGGGACTCGACTGTTGGAAGGTTTATAACAAATATGGTTACGATTCTTACAAGGTCTATTATCATTACTACCTTTTGTTACAAAAATTTGAAAATTATTGGTTGAGAGGCGCTTTCTTGACTTGCCTCTTGCTAGCAGTGAACGAAAGAAGGCATCCCCCACAGAATCCCGACAACAACCCCTATGATAACCTAAGATACCCCAACCAAGAAGTCGTTCCTGAATTCTGAAGGAGCAATAAGCCTAAACCCGAACGCGCAAACCGCGAGTATCCCTGAACCCTCATTGTCCCTAAAACAATGCGTGTCCATTGCGAACCGGCGCCGATGCATGGTATTTGCAGCATCTTCCTGCGTTCCGACGATTCGAACGAAAGTTGCCCCCCAGGCTTGAGCGGTTTTGCTGACGGAAACACCTCGAAAACAACATGAGAGCCTTCATGTTCCCCTCTTGGCGAACATGAGTCAAGATGTGGTACGCATCGTGCATCCGTTCCGGGTTGGCTTTCGGCACTTGGCCAGGCGTACTCACCGCAAGACAGGACAGAATTGCTTGCTGGACAAATCTCCAGCAACTGTCGATCCTCCCAGAATGCGCTTGCAGCGCTGCCTTCCTGCCCCTGCGATACATATTTCGCCCCGCACAAACCTGCCTCTAAAGCTCTGCTCAACTCACGCATTCCCCGTGAGCAGACTGAGGAGCGCTCTCTGATTGCAGTTGGTGCTCAACTCTATGAAAAGTATAATGTTCGGATACTTTGTATGGTGTTGAGCTGATTTTCTGGCATTGGTTTTGGTATCGGTCATCCACGACTGCCGGTAACATTGCATTTCGGCCAACCTTAGGAACCAGAACTCCTTGCAGCCACTCAAGGAATTCAAGGCATGTCGACACGACGGAGTGCACTAAGCACTAAATCTTCAAGCGGGGTTTTTGTTACTTCAAGTTACGAAGCTACCAAAGATTAGTGGCGAGCGTTCCCAGTGTGGAAGCAATATGGCACTTTTGCTGAAAGAAGACTGAAGAATGTTCCGCCCCCCGCCCCCTCTTCCCCCCCAAACTACAGAAGGCGAGCGCTAGCAGTGTGGAACCAGTAGAGAGTTCTTCTTGAAAGAATGCTCGAGAACGTTTCCTTGTCAAATGTAGGGAATTACACTGCCCCAGCCCTCACCCAACCCTGCATTCTAACATGTTTGGCAACAAAATGCAAGTGGAAACCACCAAATGTGGACCCGCTTAGCCCTAAACCTTATTTCAACACTTCACCCTGGTCCCTGTAATCCCTAAATCCCTACACTCTAGATACCAAACCCTCTCTTTATGTAACCCCTATAATTCCTCTGGTTTCCATTTTCTTTCCCAGTATCCCTATATAACCCCACTATAATCCCGAATATAACCCGTATATAACCCCAATAAAATCCCTAATAGAACCCCTATATAACCCCAATATAATCGCTAATAGAACCCCAATATAACCTCCAGTATAATCCCTAATAGAACCCCAATATAATCTCTAATAGAACCCCTATATAACCCCAAAAGAATCCCTAATAGAACCCCGATAATGTGGTGGAGGTTGCAGCTGCAAGCCTCGATGCTCAAGGCGGTTTCCGATGGCTCCTTGGAGGCTGCCTTGTCCTTGATGGGTATAGGGTTTATATAGGAATTCTATGAGGGGGTTATATGGGGATTATGTAGGGTTTATATAGGGATTATATAGAGGTTATATAGGGATTATATGATGTTATTTGGGAAAAGAAAATGGAAAGTATTGTAGTATATTGGGGGTATATAAGGATAATGGAAAAGAAAATGGGAACTACTATGTAGGGTTTAGGGGTTTAGGAAGAATGGTTTTGGGGACACATAGGAAGCACAGCTTCCCTAGAACTGCAGTCCCCCTTAAGTAGATAGAATATGGGGTATATGGGGATATTCTTAAAATATACCCACGGCCATATTCTATCTACTTAAGGAGGACTATACTTGTGTAATTGTCTCAAAAGAGTCTTCGGCTATCGTCTGCCTGAAGCATCAGAGGAAGAGCATATGTGCACATGTTCCTCGACTGGTACTACTTTCTGTCAGTTGTGATGGCTCCTTGCAGGCTGCCTTGAAGAACGTTTGCGCGGGCAACGTTGACGATGAGGATGGGGTTCTTAAGAAGCAGTTTCCAACATGTTCGTTGCGGGTGGTTTGCACCATTCTTTTCATACAAGCCAAAACCATGTTTCTCTAAACAATTCTCTCTATCCAGCAGGACGGCCGTAGTCCCTGCAACCTCCATGTATGCCTGGGGTCCCCAAGGGCCCCTTGCCTTGGTGTTTCACAGCGAGGATGCGGTGACCATTGTCTTGGAGCAGCCTGACATGCCTGCGGACATCGCAGAGTTGCGAGATGCTGAAGAGAGCATCGCGGAGCTTGAGAGGCTGAGAGAGAAAATCGCGCAGAAAATGCTGGCTGCCAACTTGGATGGCTCCCTTCAGGCTGCGATTCAGGCACTTGAAAGCCATAGTCCTCAGAAAAAGCCCGAGAGACATGTGGATGACCTTCGCCTCAAGCTTGCGGACCAGCTCACCAACTCTCTGGCGGATGGCTCCCTGGAGAAGGCCTTGGCGGCGAATGCTGCGAAAAGCCCACGCAAAGTTGGCGAAGGCAAAGAGGGCAAGGAAAGTGATGAGGCCGAGCATGACGTGGAGGTCCTGCGAGAACGCATTGCTGGCCAGTTGGAGGCAGCTTTGACGGATGGCTCCCTGGAAACAGCTCTGCAGATGTGCATCGTCCCAAAGCAGGACCTGATGATCGCGGAGCCTTTGCAAGTAGAGCCTGTGGAAGATGTAGAGGCGCTTCGAAAGAAGCTGGCCGCCCGCTTTGAGGCCTCGGTGGCTGACGGCTCCTTGGAAGCGGTTCTTGCAGAGCATGCAGAGCGGTCGGGAAAACCCCAGGACCCCGAGGCGCTTCGGGAGAAGCTGGGCTCCCAGATGTTGGCCGCCTTCCATGACGGATCGCTGGAGGCAGCCCTGGAGGCCAACGCATCTGCAGCCGAGGAGGAACCTTCAGAGAGGCTCAGATCAAAGCACCACACCCTAAAATTACAAACTCTCGGAAGCCTCCTTCACCCTAAACTTTCAGGCCCTAAGCCACCTCATCTCGGACTTCCTTATGCTTCCTGTTGAAATTGCAGCCCTGAAGGCTAAGATCAAAGCTGGCAACTTCCTTGTCCCAGTCTTTCTTGGACGGATCCCTGGAGATTGCTCTTAGCGCCAGTCTGGACTCTGAGCCTTCGAGCCTGCAGGCTCCTACCACTTACTGGTGGTAATTATAGGGAATACACAGGGGTTATATGAGCTATAGTCTAAACTCCTCAAAGGGGGGATATATAGGGGATTATATAAGGGACTACTATAGGGGTCATTAAGGGGGATACTAGGAGTTTAGACAATGGCTCATATGGGATTTTGGGGATTATATAGGGGTTATGTAGGGATGACATAGATATTACATAGGGATTGTATAGGGTTATGTAGGGATAGAGGAAAAGAAATTGGAAACTACTATTTAGGGTTTAGGGCTTAGGGCTTAGGGTTTAGTATATTGGGGTTATACAGGGATAATGGAAAAGAAAATGGAAACTACTACATTATAATAGGGTCTATATTGGGGATAGAAGGGAATGGACAATAATGGAATATACGCTTTTTTCCAGCTCCGTATTGAAGGATGAGGGAATGGAAAAGACAACGTAAACTCCCATATTAGTGAGGCTTGGGATCAAGGAAGGAATGAAGGAAGTGGGAAACATAGACTATTCTGAGTCATTGAGGAATTTCTGCTAGATATGTGGATTACTTTCGGGATCTATTCCCCCATTCCCTGCCACCACCGCATGGGGGTGAGGGGCAAAAGATTGATAGGGGCCACTGTAGGGGTTCCCTCCCGCATTCCCTACTAATCACCTGTAAGATAGCACATTTCCTGATTTACGAGCAATCGGCTTTTGAGGCCCTGAAGGGGTTCAAGTGCAAGCTAGACTATTCCTGCCCCGACAATGTGAGCTACAAGCTAAACTCCTTAAAGGGGGTTATGTAGGGCATTATATAGGGGTGCATTACAAGGGTTATTAAGGGGAATGCCAGGAATTTGGTGGAACCTGTGTCGCTGCACTATGGACCTTTCTGAAAATTTTAAGGTTCCAGCCATGCCATCACCTATTTATCATCCCGAAAAGGTGTGAAATCCTGGCCCCTAGGCCCAGCATACCCTTTGAACTTCTTTTAGAAGGGATTCTTTCGAATCCTTGGCTTACTGTATATAGTATATAATTGTATTATATTGGTGGGTATGGTTAGGTGGGTGGGGGGTTACCATTATGGGGGAGAGGATTCAGCACAGTAAGTTTGTCGGCGGCACTACACCTTAAACACTACACCCTAAACCCTAATTCCTAA